CGATTGTCGTGTGTATGAAGAATACAGTCAACGTGTGTTCAGTACAATACGATATACTGAAAGAGAAAAGACTATAAAATACGGGAGAAAAATAAGAAGTTTATTACCTATCCACTTAATTCGGATCGGTCGACAATAGAATTTGTGTTATTTACAACATTTTGTAATTAATTGATTATCGGTCCTATTATGTAACTGAGGATGTACGTAACGACGTAATAGAGTATATTTTTTGGTTAGTTTATTTAATGAAGCGTACACACGGCTTTGGTTGCTGATTCTCGTGTGTCAACGTGTTCAGTACAATACGATATACTGAGAGATATGCTGATGCTCTATTACGTAGACACGTACATCCCTAGTTGCATAATAAGACAGATAATCTATTAATTACAAAACGTACTAAAAGCGCAAATTCTGTTGTCGAACGCTGTAATCAGTATAAGATTATGTATTAAATAATTATGGAGGTGCATATGAAACATTAAACGATTCATCATTGTGTTAAGTTATACCACGTAATTTAACAAAAAGATCAATCATTTAATGCCTCACTTCACACTGTCTCACTCCATTATTATTTAATACTGGTTAGAATGGTCGACAATAGAATTTGCACTATTTACTACGTAATACAGCATATTTTTTGGTTAGTTTATTTAATGATATAACCGATAATGTACACACGGCTTTGGGTGCCGATTGTCGTGCACAGAGTCTATAGACTCTGTGATTGTATAAATGAACAAAGAGAAAGGAGCAAGAATTTTCCCAAGCGCATGAAGTTGAGCTCCGGATTAAGTGGATAGGTAATAATTTTCTCTCCCCGACTTACAAGATTGCCATAGCGATACACTTCTAGACATGTAGGTAAATGATGACTAAAATAAACGACCCAAGATTTTCTCTTGCCGACCAGTATATTATCGTAGTCTTAAAGAAATTAGAATAAATTAAACTATGTTAAAAATTTTCATGTATACTACTGAAATGAAGATAATATATCTAAGCTAAATGTAATCTATTACAGTTGTAGTAAAATGAGTAACTAATTGTCGAAAATCCAGATCAAACCCTAGATGCGACATTTTTTTGAAACGTCTACATATGCGGTTTGAAATTTTGATGCAAAATCTGGCAATACCGCTCAGAAGAAATGTACCCACCCATACCCACCCAACTTTTTTCTCTTTTTAATACATTTGATTTGCCATTAAGCTGCCTACATCACTGTCTTACACGTTAAAATCATATACACAGAGTTGACCTGTCCCGATGTGTATGTACAAAATGTACAGGTGGTAAATATTGCAAGCCCATTGGTATACAAAAATAATTATTTAAATCATTGTAATAGAGTATACCAATTAAATATACCACCATTATTTCCAAACAAAAATTAGTTAATTACATACTTTTAAATTGTTTTAATTAATAAAGTATTCTAAATAAATGTGGATTTGGCTCAGAAATCAAAATAATAATAAGTTATAAAAATGAACGTCTCTGTTTTTATAAATAAGCATTCGTCAAAAAATTAAATAAAATTTATAAGGTGTTACTTTTTACCACAGTCTAATACACACACAAAACTAAGTTTTTTAGTATATGGAGCAATTATTATTAATCAACGTAAACAGTCAATTAATGTAGTTTGAATACTGGGATCATATTTATAGGTCCTCTTTAACAAAAAATATTTCAACAGTTTGTTTAATTTTTTTTAATGAAATATGCGACAATATTAGTATCTGTACTTTTTGAAAATTTGTTACATCTTTAAAAATAATCTAAAATGTCAGTATTCCATGGATATAGTGATAAATGAGGTCTAAATTATAAGAAAATGCATTTTCTACGAAAACTTGAAGAGATGGGTAAAAAATGGTATAATACAATTTGATAGACCACTTTGTGCATCTGATTCACGTAAAATATATAGGGTGTTCCATTTAAATTAAATAAGTTATTGCCGTTTAAAACTAGTAATTATCTAATATAAATTTTTGGACACTCTGTATAAGGTAGTAAAATTTTTATTATTGCAACACAATATCTGATCAATAAATAATCTTCAGTAAATATTCAGTATTAAAACTTTGGTACCATTGGAGAAATGAAGCCTTAATATTTTACTGCAATTTCATAAAATTGAAAATATTTCAAAAACGGTAAGGTTTAAGTGTGATAAACCTTAATCAAATTTACCTTTATTTTAATCGTAGAATCTAAAAATAGAATAATATACAGAGAGTTCCATTTAAAAAATACAACTATAATATTTTTTACATATTTGGGACAATCTGTATCTTGTAAAAATATTTTTAAATTGTATCTCTAATAGTCCTTCAACGAACCCAAAACTTACAATTTGTAAAAATTTAATCGTTTAGCTACAATACTCTGTATCATATGTGGTGTACAACCCTGTATATTTTATATGATGTTTTATATGATTTTAGTTTATTTTTCAATAAAATATCTAAAGTAAAAGACTGTTATTTTTAAAGCTGTAACTGCAAGTTCTAAACGTCACAAGTTTATAAACTTATTATTTTTTAAATATACAAATACAATGTATCAAAATATAATACAAATAAGTACCATGTATAAATATATTTAAAACAAAATAATATTATAAAATATGATTTACGTATATTTACGTTTTTTTTTATATTTATTATATTATAACACTGTATATTTTTAAAGCTTCGATTTATATTTTCTTAAGGTAATTAAAAATCTAAAGTCATAAAATAATTTTAAATTAATTTTCCAATATATGCTGCGCACATACTGCACTTTAGTTAAGCAAATATCTGTTACTGCTATTTTGCTTAGTACGGCTTGGTAAATTTAACTGGCGCGATATCTCTCACACAAAATCATAGAATGCATTCCCGCTCATTCATGCATGTGCCGCATTTTCAAAGGCTAAGGCGCTCATAATTAGTTCTGAGACCGTTTGAATTTATTGTGGTATAAGTTGGCTTGTTGTTGGTTTGTTTTTGAATTTAACAAACTCTACATTCGATCATGTCTAACCGTAGTGATAAAATCATGGCACTTCTTACCAAGAATAAATCAACAAATAGTTCATCACCTATGAAAGTGTTTAGCAAAGAAAACGTTGTTCCAAACAATTATTCTTTATCTACGTTGACTTTTTGTGACACTAGAAATAAGATTTTGGACCCAGAGAATCAAAGTGTTTTGCAGGAAATACCAGAATTTACACGATGTAGTAAGTTTATTAGTTTTATAGGTTTTTAGTTTTACAGGTACTGATTTCTGTGAAATTAGCGTTTCTTACAAATTATGTTTAAAATTCGCCAAATCGTACCTATAAATAAAACGAAAGTCTTTCCGAGTAGTTCGCTAGTTTTATTTCTTCTTGAAATCAATCAAATTCGTATTGGGAGTATAAATAATTGAAAACTTGTAGGTACATTAATAGAAAAATTGGTTAAACGTAACGTAAAGTTGTGGGCTATTTAATTTATCAGTCCAATGTCGCATTGAAAATTAATTAGGTAGTTTTTTTACATAAAAATTACATTTTCGAAAAATTAACTTTTTTAATTAATAAGGATTTCGTAAAAATATTGTAGGAGCAGCTTTTTACCCGCTATGTGTATTTGGTTTTTAATTTTGCCGTTTTGATTTCAAGACAACAATGTGTTTCAGATGATGTTATGATGCAGTGGATAGAAACATTACCAGTTGTACTTGCAACGGGAAGCGATTCTTATACAATCTTACAGCAGATAGAATCTGAAACTGTTACTGAACTGCAAATACAACAATTTAACCGCACATCTGCATGTAACCTAACCTCTAACCTTGAAAAAAATGTATTGCAAGTAAAGAATGATTTACCAGAGATTGAAACTATCAATATTCTATCTTTGTGGACTCTACTGAGTACAGGACTCTACTGCTATGATGAGCCTAAGAAAAATATGGGCAGATAGGAACTTAACTAAAAACACCAAAAAGACCCTTGTTCGATCTTTGGTGTTCTCCATATTCCTATACGGGTCTGAGTCATGGACCGTCAACAGCGCTAATAGACACTGTATAGATGCATTTGAGAAGTGCTGGAGGAGAATGCTCCATATCTCATGGACAGCTCGAAGAACGAACCAGTCAATTCTCGATGAACTTGGCATCACAGATCGATTATCCACGATCTGCCGTAGACGCATCCTGCAATACTTCGGTCATATCACTCGCCGAGGTGAAGACAACCTTTAAAAAATCATTGTACAAGGCAAAGTAGAAGGCCGAAGGCTCAGAGGACGATCACCATCAATATGGCTTGACCAAATAGCAAATATTACAGGTCATCCATTTCAATCAAATCTCCGAGAGGCGGAAGATCGCCAACGATGGAAGACCAAAATCACCAGCTGCACATAGCCATAATGTCACGATTCTTCAGACATGAAGGGACGACGAAGAAGGACTCTACTGGTCAAGAAATAAACCATTTCTACAAGGAGGATGACTCTGAATTTTTTTCTCCGTGTAATGGAAGCAACTTCCAAAATCCACTTGAACTGAGCGCTGATTCACCTGCAATCACAGTTTTGCCCAACAACCTCACAGAAGAAGGAAATAGAGATCAGTTGATTGCTGATTCGCCTGGAATCACAGCTTTGGCAAAGAATCTCACCATGAAGAAAATGCAGAGGAGTTGAGCACTGGGCCCTTATTCTTGAATGTTGGGGAGGAGAACTTGTCCGGGAAATGGGCGTGGATCGCTTTAAAACAATAAAATAGTATTCTTGAATATGTGACCGTGAAGTAAATGTTCCCGGGAATTTTCTCTTTTCTCCACTTCTCGGCCAAGAGAAAACGATCTCCCGCTAAGGTTCTAACCTCAAAAATTGACAGTAGATGTATTTTTTATGTTGCTTTTTATTGTTTAATTAAATAAAAATATGGATGTTGAATATTTTAATAATATAATCCTAAATGATATAATTCAAGAAGATATGGAAGATGCTGCAGAAGCAGTAGAAGCAATTAGAAATGTTCTGCCACAACAAGATCCATTTGCTCTTTCGGACCATAAATTTGTGAAACTTTTTCGCGTCTCAAAAAATCTGTGCCGGGAAATAGTGGAAATGGTCACTCCATATGTTACTGTTTCAACACGATTGTCGTCCTTAACAGTAAGAACAAAGCTGTTGTTTTCTAAACTAACAAGGCATGGTTTTGCAGCTAAATAATATATTCATACAAACCGTAGAATATCATTTAAATGTTAGTACTTATGATTACATGTTTTAAAGGTACTAGCAACATTAAGGTTTTATGCATCAGGAAGCTACCAAGAAATTACTGGTAGTAATAGCTTTGTTGCTATAAGCCAGGCTTCAACAAGCCGTTCTATAAAAGAGATAACAAATGCTCTGAACAGACCGGACATTCTTAGAACGATTCGATATCAACTACTGAAGATTTTGAGGCACTACGTACTAGGCAAGTTATGACAAGAGTGACAGAATATAATTTGTTCTTAAATAAAAAAACATGTTAGCAATCTTAGTGTCTGCTTTATAACTATATATAATTTTTATTTTAGATTTTATGTGAAATACAGATTTCCAGGGCCTATCGGATGTATTGATTGCACACATATTAGTATTGTGACCCCACAGCAAAACGAGCATCTATATATTAATAGAAAGGGATATCATTCACTCAATGTTCAATTGGTTAGTTACTTTTGTTTGAACAGTTATCTTCTTTGGTACTGCTATAAAACATGATTCATATGGCAAGACGTTCTATGTGTTCTTTAAAAAAGAAACATACCTTGATAGTTTTTATTTACAACAAAATAACACTAATTTTCCACAACACACCAAAACATTTTATCTTAAACTCTGTATGCACGTTTTGCTAACCATGTTAGAGTTATTAGCAGATTATTAAAACTTAGTATTTTAATCATCTAGTGATGATGCTGACATGGTTAGTGAAACATACATCCATAGTTTAAAATAAACTGTTTTGATGTTTTGTGGAAAATTAGTGGTATTTAGCTGTTAATATCACCAATGGTTCCAACATCAATTGTATTTGATATTTAGTTTATTGATATTTTGAATTTATTTTTCAGATTTGTGATACCAATCTTAAAATTCTGAACTGCAATGCTAGATTTCCAGGATTAACCCATGATGCACATATTTGGAGACAGTCACCTATTTCCACCCTCATGGAGAATATGTACAGAGAAAATCCTGACAATTTATTTTTTCTTTTAGGCGACTCAGGTAAATATAGGAAATACTTTGACAGCCTGATAATTATTTTATTTTCAGGCTATCCTACCCGTCCTTGGTTGTTAACTCCATTGGGAAACCCTCAAAATGCTGACGATGAGAGATACAATAACCATTTCTGTTCCATACGTTCCACAATTGAAAGATGTAATGGGGTTCTAAAAAATAGATTTCGATGTCTTTTAAGACATCGTACACTGCATTATGATCCAGTGATGGCAGGGAAAATTATAAATGCGTGTTGTGTTTTACACAACTTGTGTATTGACAACAATATCCCTGAAGCTGATGAGCCACATGAAGTTCAAGAACCAGATTATGGAATTTATGCTGCCCATAATTATGTAGATAATATTAGAGCAGTTAATCCAGATCTGGTTGCTGCAAGAGAAACTCAGCGAAACATTATAATTAAATAACTTTTTTTGATATATCATATATAATAAAAACTTCAAAATTATTTATTTTAACTAATTATTTTGTTATACATAGAACATCACTAACCAAACCCCAAATAAAACATTAACAAACCAAAAAAGTTTCTGCCATAACAAATCGACTAAAATTAAAAAATATGAACAATGTTGTTTGCTATCATTTCAACATTTTCCGAAATATTTTCAATAACTTTAATTTGTTTTTCATAATACTCCTGCTTTATTTTAAAATGCTCTTCTAACAACTGTAACTTTTTCTTTTGATATTTTTCTGTTGCTGACATTCCTTGTTGGCTTATCATTAGGAACTTTTCATTATTTCTTAAGCTATGGCTTAATCTGGAAGAGTTCACACTTTTTTTTCTTGAATTTTTTGGTACAGTGTTTTCTGCAATGTGCAGGGTAATTTTTCTTTCTTTTTTTGGTGTCGAAGTTGCAGCAACAGGCTCCATGCTATCTTCATCTATAATCTCAATATTAGATTCATTTTCTTTCTAAAATAGACAAAAAATAGAGGTGAAATTAGCTACTTGTAGATGGGTTTGTTAAAACAGTGTGGTGGTCGCTTTTGATTTGACACTATATTTAATGAAAAGTATAACTAGTGATTGACTTACTTCCTCGATAATATGGAAAATTACATCATCGTTTAAGAAAAATGAATCAGGAACTTCATTCCCCTCCACTGCTATAGGTGTTAGAATTTCTAAAATTTCTTCATCGGTAGTTTTGTTCAATGCTGGTGGTGGTGGAGGCATTGGTGGACCACCTCCTGTACCATTCCTGTACTGCTTTTCTTTCGAAGCTTTATTTTTGACATTCTTTCGAAGGTCTCTCCAGGTCTATGGGGAAACAAAGAACAATATTTTTTATGGAAATGTATATACTGATATTTAATAATCGTTAAAAAAGAAATATTGTTAAAAATGACTGAATAATATAAATTTTACCTTGTTCCACTGAGGGGTAGCATTTAATGTTGCAGTTATCTGCTCCCACAGTGTTGTTAAGCTACCTTTTTTGTATACGTTGGGGGTAAGTTTGCCCTTTGCATTTCGGGTCTTGCGTATACAAAGTCAACCAATATTCGTTTTTGTGTGGCAGAAAGCTGCCTATTTTTTGGCTCATGTTCTGCCATTTGTATTAATATGTATGTGACTGAACTATAGATGTTAAAACTAATTAATGATGAATGACACTATGATGTTCAAAGCGTGCAATTATAAAGAGTAGAGCTAAAACTAATAAAAAATAAAAAATGACGCGAAACCAAAATGTAAGGTTATATTGTCATATCCTTCCTCCAGTTCTTCGTCTTTTATTTAAGGTTGGGCCAAGGATGGGTCTTAAAACCGCATTTTTTACATTCTGATTGACACTTGCATTAAGTGGCAACACTGTGAACACTCCTAGGCGTTCAAGAATACGATTTTTCTGTTCCCGGGAGTAAAAGTGGACTAGCCTCCCTGGGTAGGTTCCCGGGAATCATACCTTCCTGGACATTCAAGAATCAAAGAAGCCCTGATGTACCTGAAATCACAGGCTTGGTAAACAACATCGTAGAAGAAGAAAATGCAGACGACTTGAACGCTGATGGACCTGATAGTACAAACAGCCTTGCAGAAGAAGAAAATGCTTTCGAAACCATATATTCATTGACAAAAGAGGGAAACTTAAGAAAACGAAAAAAATATAAAGCGAATTTGAAAACAAGAAAACGTATAAAATTAAATCGGATAAGAGAAGATCATAAGCCCTTACCATCGTGAAACCGTAACAAGTGCAAAAAGATATAATAAATAATAATGCAATACTAAAATTTCGGAGCTTCGGCGCTCTGAAATCAATAAACAGTTTTGGGATTTGTAATGGTTAGTGTTCAGGCTAGCTAAGACATTTTTGTTAGATTATAATAATTGTTTATAGTTTAAAGTTACTCTACTATGTTAACAAAGTTGAAGAAATTTCCCATTATAAAAACTTATTAAGGTACCTTACCTTTAAGATGATAAACGACCCTACTTTATATTCGTAAAATTATAACTTTAACTTAACTATTACCACTGGGAATTTTGATCGTAAACCTATATAGCTGTCGCAGACGTCTGCCTATCTGAACAATGTAAGTTTAGGGCAGTGTCGTTTGGTTTGGTTTGGTTTGTCCACTGTTCTGAATATTAGATTTAAGAACATGAAAATTGTATTGTACGCCTATGGCTATTTTTGAAGTGAGACATTATTTAAGAGACTAGAACGTGGTTCTAGTCTCTTTAGCTTTACGCTTTTAATCTCTTTTAGCTTTACGCGTCCAGAGTACGCACGACGCGTCGAAAGACGCCATCCGCATATCGACAGTTACAGACTTTTTCTTTGGCTTTTATAATATCGTTACGAGAAATTTTAAACGTTCTTATTTTAAGTATTATTAATAAGTTTCATTTGTGTTATATTTGTATACAATAAGATAAGTGTAAAAGTTATCGTTGTTGAATGTTATTTCAACTGGTCCTTCGACAGTCCAACTACCAGAGTCATCCAGATTTTGGTTCTCCGCCAAGATACATTTTGGTCTTACAAGCCAGAAACATTTTGGTCTTACGAGCCCCAACCATTTTGGTCCTTCGAGCCGGATACATTTTGGTCCTTCGAGCCGGATACAGTTAGAGAGACGAACATTCATTTTTAACACTTGTAAACGCTTGGCAGTGAAAAGGCGACTCAAATCTGCAGACACTGAAAAGAAACAAAATACGTTCAAGTATTTTTTTCCTGGCGAAAATTTATTAACCACAGCAGTAACTTATGAAGTCTGTAAAGTATTTTTCCTGACCACATTAAGTTATAAAAAAACTAACGATCGGGTGATAACGGAAGTTTTGTCGAAAACACAAAAGGGAAGCCTTCAACCAAATCGAGATAAACGCGGGAAACATGAGAAAGACAATAAATTTCAACAAGAAAATTTACTTGAACGCCATATTGAATCATTTAATCCTACAATCTCTCATTACCGACGTAAGCATGCGCCGCTTACTCGATACTTACCTAGCGATGTAAATATTTCCCTAATGTTTAATGATTTTAAGGAAACATATCCTAATTTAAAATTGTCATATGAATTATACCGCCGAAAAGTGAAGAACTTGCATATATCGTTTGCATTGCTAGATAACGAAGAATGTGAAGATTGCGAGCAATTTAAATTGCATGGTCATATCAAAGACAATTTACAACAAGATTGTGAACAATGTCAAACGTGTAAAATACATATAGAAAAAGCTCCTGCAGCTCGAAATCTGTATCGTGAATTTGCTGAGCAGTCCTTTGAAGATGGTACAATTTGTTGCTCAGCAGACTTACAAAAAGTAATAATGCTGCCACGAGTTGATTGTTTCAAAAAAAGAATCGTTGAAAGAATCGTTGAAACGAATATCTTCACAAAAAGAATCGTTGCATATCACGAGAGTTTCGTTGCAGTTGGCAAAAAATCGAAGAACAAGCCGTTTGATTGTGTATCTGTAAAATATTCAGAATAATAAATTAGCTCATAAAACACGAACTTTACTTCTTAATTGATCTCAAGGTTTTTTTGGAAAACATTAAATTAAAAAAGGCTCGATATCTCAAAATGGCGAATTTGCACATACGGCACTTTCGTTTAGCAGGGCAGTATATGTTATGTATTTGTATATATTTCAGAAATATTTTATATTATGTTGTATTTGTAAATTAGTTTATTAGAAATATATTTTTATTTTGCGTTTTGATCCTCCCCCATGGTGTGACACCTTGTCGTGGTGGGGGAGCTTAAAAACTTCAAGGACCCTAAAGGCTATATTGACAAACCTTGCCAATTCTTTATGTGAATTATATAATGCTATTGGTGAGGTTTTTCTAATTGAATAAGTCATTAAAGTTGAGAAATAATACAAAGTGAGACACATTTTTTGAATATTTATTTATTTGTAAATGTAGTATATTTTTGGTGTTTTATAATTATTTAAAACTGAATGTATAAATTTTGTTAATTTTTATACACTCAGATGAAAAAAAAAACGTAATGGAGAAATTTTTGGTCAAATTTAAAGTTTATATTGTTGTTATTTTTAGCCCAATTTTTATGAATTTTTTATCAACCTGTACATAATTATATTAACTTTAATTTTTAAACTCAGTTTTTTATAAACTTTAATATTTGGCATATTATACAGTGTTAATCGAGGGGTTGTTTTTTTTACCTTAACTTTAAAACACCCTGTGCAATAATTTCGTGTGTAAATTTTCTTAAAATATAATTTTACGGTCAGAACCGTGTCTCCTGAGCATTTTATTTTTTGGATCATGTCAATATATGCCTTGGTTAATTTTTAAGAGCGAAATGAACTTGACACCACCAATTTGCAATTTTTTCAATTATCATTTTTTTTTGAAGTTATTTTTCAATATGAGAAGCCGACTTTGGTGATTATTGTGCACGATATACTGCCCATCATGTTCGACGTTTGGGACATGCTTGGCAGGAGGGTTAGAGGTCGCGAAGCGATCCCAGCTTCGTTAACTGAACTTCGCTTAGTTCTTAAAGAAGAATGGGAAAGCATAACGCAATATGTAGCCTCAATGACAGTATGAACGGACGTATACAGGCATAGCAGCCAAGGGAAGCAATGCAATGTATTAGGATATTTTTTACAATTTTTTTTTCTGTTTGAATACTTAAGTATTACAGAGGCTTTCTTTAATATCGTTAGTTCTGTTATTGTTATTAATGTTTATTAAAACCAGGACTGTATCGTTAGTCTTTATCGTTTTTTATTTATTTAGTATGAAGTATCCAATGCAGTGTAATGACATTACGACAATAGTCACCAAACCCATCTCGTCATTAAAAAACTACATCAAAAAGTAATGATAATTGAAAAAACTGCAAATTGATCGTGATCAGTTCATTTCGCTCTTAAAAATTAAACAAAGGATGTATTAAC